TGAGCAGGTTTAAGGTTAGGGTTTTGGAGGGGTTTGTGGCCAAGCCCAAGTTGTCCATTATTTTGCATATGGATGGGGGGCTTGCGGTGAAGGTTAGTGAGAGGGAAGATTAAAGGGTAAAATGGTAATTCTCTGGGGTGTTCATTATGAATACATGAACACGAGAAATATTTGTATTAGCCAGATCCCCTAACGGGCTACTATGAATATGTTAGAAATAAATCCGGCTGGTATATCGGTTAGTTTTTATGTTTGTGGTGAGGTATTTATTTCATGTATTTAATAATTATATTTGAGAATATTTTTAAGTTATACTGGATATACCAGCAGATATATATATCATCATGTATCAATTATATATACTTCATACTTTGTATGTTTGAGTTTTTCTCATTTGTTAAAATTTGTGCAATTATTATGAAAGCTTAGAGTTCATGATTATATAGAAATTTGTGTGATGAGAAAAATATGTTGTTATTTCTAGAGTGAAACTTCAAATTTTTGTTTTTGTGTTTTCTTTTATTGAAACCATAATAATTTTTTTTGGTCAATGAAAAAACTTTATTCATCTTCCAAATTTGAAATTCAGCACAACAAATTTCTCAGCAGAATTGAGATTACAAAAATAACTAGCACAAAACTTCCCTCAAGCAATTACAAAGAACTAATCCATTCTCTGTTTTCAGCCTTAAAAGAGCCATTGAGGACACTAGTTAAAATGTTGAACTTGGTTTCTTTAAACAATTGATCGGTAGTTTTCATTTCTTGTTTGAAAATCCTGGAATTCCTCTCTCTCCAAATGCTATATATTGTTGAGGTAAGAGTCATCTTCTTTATCTTTTGCTTGAATCTATTCCCCCTCAATCTAAAACAATATCATATCATAATCTGATTCCAGTTGCAAGACTTCCACCTAAATTGTAGCCAATCCATGACCATGACCCAAACATCCCTTGAATAGTAACATTCAAAGAAGAGATGATCCCTACTTTCAGAACCAGAGCACATGCAACAATTGTTGATATTCACAATTCCCTTTTTGATCAGTCTGTCAAGTGTGAGCAAACGGTCTTGGACTGCTAACCAACAAACAAACGAATGTCTGGGGATGTTTGTAGTCTCCCAAACTATGCTATACCACAACACTATAGAAGAAACAGGGGAGAGAGCATTGTATAATGCTAAAAGCTGGATATTTGAATTACTGGAACAAGATTGTATGAGATGTATCAGGTTGCCAGCACCTCAACAAATTCTTAGAGTCTTATCTCTGACTTTCAATATCTTTTTCCACATCCATGAATCCCAACTTTTTGCTTGAATATGCCGGACATCATTATGCTTTAAATATGTACTATATATCCACTTGATCCATAGATTTTCCTTATTAACATAAATATACCAGAGTAGTCTCAATGTTGATGCCATATTCCATGTAGTTGCAAAATAAATGCCTAGACTACCATGCTTCCTACTCAAGCAAGCTTTATCCCAAGAAATAAGAGGAATTTTGTAAATCTGTTCAGTTTTTCCCCATAGGAAACTTCTGCACATTTCATCAATTTTCTGCAACATTTTAACAGGCAAGACATAGTTTGAAGTCCAATAGATTTGTATGCCAAGAATAACACTCTTGATTATCTGCTTTAACAGGCAAGACATAGTTTGAAGTCCAATAGATTTGTATGCCAAGAATAACACTCTTGATTATCTGCAATCTGCCTGCATATGAAAGAGACAGTCCAATAGATTTGTATGCCAAGAATAACACTCTTGATTATCTGCAATCTGCCTGCATATGAAAGAGACATGTTTTTCAAACAAGCCTACAATTGACCTGATATTTTGTTTAAGAGAGGAGTGCAGTCAATGTAAGATAATCATTTGCATATCAAAGGGACTTCTAGATAGTTGATATGTAAGACACCCTCAGTGAAATTCAGGAAGCTGTCAACAAGATTTTTAGTGTTTTCATCAACCCCACCATAGAAGATTTTGCATTTTTCTGGATTAGCTTCCAGACCTGATACAGCACTAAAATCCTTGAAGCACTTGTAAAGCAACTTCACTAAATGTAGGTCTCTCTTTGAGAAGAGGAGGAGGTCATCAGCAAATATTAGATGTGTGATTTTCAAATCACCACATCTAGGATGGAACTTAAAAGACCTGTCCTCTTTAAGCATATCCAGTTTCCTAGAGATAAACTACATACCCAAGGTGAACAAGTAAGGTGAAAGAGGATCACCATGTCTTAAATCTTTTTCTCCTTTGAAGTAGCCATGAAGGGTGTCATTTAAAGAGATGGAGTACTTGGGAGAAGAAATGCATACTATAATCCAGTTTATAAACTTTGCAAGAAAACCAAGGCCTTTTAGCATTTCTTTTAGAAAATCCCAATTTATAGTATCAAAAGCCTTCTTGATATCAATGCTCATCATAATTCTGGGAGAAATGTGTTTTCTGTTGTAATTCTTCAAAATCTCATGAGCAAGTAAGATATTGCTTAAAATTTGTCTTCCATTAACAAAGGCACTCTGAGCCTCATTTATCAAATAACCCATAATAGGTTTAACTCTGTTAGCTAGAATCTTTGAAATAATCTTATAGAGGCAATTACAGCAAGCTATGGGTCTGAAATTAGAAGGGGTCTTAGGGCATTTCACTTTTAGAATCAAGGTGATGGATGTAGAATTAATCATACCAAGAAGCTTTCCAGTTTTAAAAAACTCTATAATAGCCAATGTTACCTCATCGCCTATGATACTCCAAGCAGACTTGTAGAAAGACATGCTAAACCCATCAGGCCCCGGAGCTTTATTATCATCCATGGAGAAGACTGCATTTTTAATTTCATCCTTGGTCACAGCAGAGGATAGGATACTAGCTTGTGCATAATTTAAACATGGTCCATTACTGATGATATTACTATCAGGTTTTGAAGTAAATGTTGTTGAACCCATAAGATTCTTATAAAAGGCAATAAGCTCTTGAATGATCCCTTCACCATCTGTAATTCTACTCCCTGCACTATTGTAGAGCATCGTTACTCTATTAAGATGCCTCTTAGCTTTGATTGTAGAGTGAAAATATCTTGCACATCTGTCTCCTTGCACACTCCATTAAATCTTGGATTTTTGTTGGTAGAATGACATTTCACACTCCAAAAGCATATTGAAAGAAGTTATGCAATTTTTTCCTGAATGATCAGATCAGGATTGAGAGGATCAGCCTGCAAATTGCTTTGAGCATTTTCCAGATTTATCCTTGCCCTATTCACTTGCTCACTTATATTGTAGAAATTCTTTTTGTTTAGATCCTTCAGGGCAATCTTCAGAAGCTTCAACTTGCTAGCAACGGAGAACATTGCACAACCTGCAATTGAGGTTTGCCAAATAGTAGAGACTATGGGTAAGTATCTATCATGCTTGATCCACATCTTGAAGAATTTAAAAGGTTTTTTTCCCTTGCACGCATTCATCATATATTGAAACCAATGCTGGGGAATGATCAGAGCATCTGGGTTGCAAAAATTCCACATGACTAGAGTTATATAAGTTTAGCCAAACATCATTAACCAGAGCTCTATCCAATCTACTCCAGACTCTACAGTTTGCTTCTTGTTTACTGTTCCAAGTGAAGTAACAACCTTCAGTTTTCATGTGGGATAGATGGCATCCATCAATAAAATCCTTGAAATCTATTGTTTCAGCCTCAGTGACCATAGCTCCCCCTAATTTATCCTTATTACCAGTTATAGCATTGAAATCACCATAGAGGATCCATGGCTTATGCCCAACAGATTGCTTGATTTGTTTTAGCTCGTCAAAGAATTCTTCTATTCTCTAACTAATTATGTCCATATATAGAAGATATTAAACAATCAATCCTATTATCCAGGGATTTAACCAAGCAGGTGATATGCTGAGATGAGTGCCTAGCAACTTGAACTTCCAGAATATTTGAATCCTATAGGATCAGAATTCTAGCTTTGTAAGAATTGAATTCATTAGAAAACCACTTCCAATTACTAGCAATCCTTTTAGTTATAGCAGGTAGCTTACTGGTCTTTATTTTTGTTTCAATGAGATCCATGAAAGAGATATGATGCTGCTGAATGTGGAGCTTAATTAAAAGCTGCTTAGAGGACTTATTTAGTCCTCTAATATTCCAAAAGAAGAAATTCATAGACTTGTAACACCTGTTGGTCTCTTTGTTCTGATGATGTTTAATAAATAATTTACCACTAATGTTATTTGTCTAGTATTTGTGTTTATTTATTTATTGTAGACAAACAACAAGTTGGAGGATGAATGGAATTGCGCATTCACGATCATATCCAATGGAGGTTGGCGGAATTGTGGAGTGAAGCCTATGCAATTCAAATTGAAGATCCAAGTTCTAGCTTCATCCGCAAGTATACCAAGTTGAGCTACATCGAAGATCTATCAAGCTTGGGTATATTTAGTTTTATGTTTTATATTATGTGTGTTAGTACTTTAAGCTCAATCATATATACACACACATATTTGATTTTTATATATATAGTTATATATATACACAAGTTTTTATTTATGGACTTAACAATCATTGTATACATATTTCATTAAGTCTATAAAATTATTTCATATGGTTTCAAAATATTGTTTATGTCAAAACATCAAATTTTATGTATATCACATTTTCATGTTTTGGACACACTTGCAAAATACATGAGTTTTCACAAATGGTAAACTTAATTTGAGAAATTCTTCTTCTAACATGTTCAATTTCATGTTTATAAATATTTTCCAAAGTTTTATTAATTTTGGAATTAATTTGTTATGTTTATTTGAATTTACAAAATCAAGTTTTTAATAAGCTCATGTTCGTGCACATGTTCGTGCATGTTTTTGCAAAACTGATGTGTTTTCACAATTGGAAATGCGATTTGAAAATTTTCTTCATTTACATGTTTATCATCATATATACAAATATTTTTCCAAGTTTTACTAATTTTGGAGTTGTTTTGTTATTTTCAATTGAATTTACAAAACCGAGTTTTCTGTAGTTTTTTTTCAGAAACTATATATCTGTGTTTAAACATTTATTTCTCTCAACTAAAAAGTTATATTTTAGAAATTCTTTCTCTAACATGTTTATCTACATGTCTAGAACCTTCTTCAAAATTTTATGATTTTTGGAGTTGATTTACTATTTTTAATTGATTTTACAAAGTCAGATATACAAAATTCCAGAATCTGTCAAAATCAGAAACTGTCCTTGAACAGTGCGGTCGACCGTGCTACAGTATGATCGACCGTCATGGTCGACCGTCTGCAGTCTAGAGAGTAGTTTTGCAATTTTATTTCTCGCGGTCGACCGTCACGGTCGACCGCCGAAGTTACCGTTACACAGTAACGGTAACTTGCTGATTTTTAT